ATATTAGATACAATTGTAAAAAAAAAATATGCGTTGTTCAAAATGGTATGTCCAAAAAAAACAGGAATCCACTGGATTCTTCTTAAAACTTTATTCTCAATCTTCTGACTCCAATCAGGTTCACAGTACAGAACTCAGCAGGCCTCAGGAAGACCTTGGGCTGAAACCAAAACACAGCAGTTCTGCTCTGAGCAGACTCTGCAAAAACACTGACAACTTCTTTCTACTATAATAATGAATTGACCTTATAATGTGCATCTCGTCCTGGTTACACCCCTGGAGGTGTTACCTTTTATGTCAGACATAGAACATAACTTATTTTTGTTTAGGCTAAAGAAAGAACACATGATAAAACACCCACCAACTCTTATTCTGTTATGGCCTTATGGCTGCAATGATCAGAAGTATAAAACACAATACTGCATCTAACATTCAGTTAATCAGTTATATAATTTCCTTCACAGTGACWATAAAACTTAAAACAATAAAATAAGTTAAGTTAAAATGAAATCAGGAAGTGAACAAGTCATTGTCGTTTTTTTGTGCTTCTGATTAGTGGAGAAACAAGATTAGTGCATATACTGTGTAAATTCAATCTGCAGCTTCCAAAGTCAGCTGATTGACACTGGTAAGACAAACCCCCCTGGCTTGGATTGGCTGTTTGTGACCAGGAGTGAGTGGTGTGTTTGCAAGGAGAGCCAGAGGAATTGTATTTTTTCACAAATTTTCTGTCTCATATTCCACTGTCAGAACAGTGGCAGTTTTAAATACGTAAAAAAACATATATTTTTATAAAAGTTTACAGCTTTAAAGCTCACATTATATAATCTCTATGTAGATAATGATTGCTCCTTAAGCATTGTTTTAGTTTTGACAGATTTGTGCAAACGGACCATTTCATGTAAGGGTTTATATTATTGCTGTCAAATTGTATAAATGTACTGCAACACTACCAGTCCTTAGTATTGGACATTACCATATTTGGACAGTGGAGTCTCAACATCCTTTACAGGAGAAAAAGGCCCTGGACCGACCTCAGTAGAAGCTCTCAACTTGAAAAAGTAACGGGTCCCACCAGACAAACCGTGGACTTCCACACTGGTAACAACCCCTGAACATAACAAAAAAGAGATTCAGTTTTCTCTCATACTATGATTTTATTAAACACATTACATATCTACATGTATTGCTTGCTTCTTCTTTAGGAACCTACCGTCCTCAGAGAGATTTTTCCACAAGTGCTCTGGCTCACTGAAGTTGATGCTGTGCAAAATCATGTAACTGACGATAATACCGTTGGGTTCCAGTGGAGGGCGCCAGCTCATCAGCACAGAGGAGGAGTCCAAAGCACTCAGCTGCAGTTCCTCTGGTGGTGTGGAGGGCCCTGAGGGAGAACAGAGGGTCAGGGCAGTAATTAGAGCTCAGAAATTAGGCCTCGCAGCTGCAAGATGTATATTGTTTTGGTGGGAGATTTGTTTTGCTGTGTGATGGCAATCTGTGTCCCCGTGTCACCGCCACCTGGGTCCAGGAGAGAAGGTGCAACTGGGACAATGGGAGTAAGGGCAGGGGCTCAGGTGATGATGGAAGCTAGTAGAGTGTGATGAGGTGAGCWGCAGTATTAATGCCGTTAAAAGCCACCAACCTCAACTGAGTGACCGAACAGAAGCGCCGGCCAAGACAAAAGCCATTTTCACACCTGAGAGCTTTATTACAGCCAGTTATTAGCAACTRCTGCCAACCACGAATCCCCATGTTCACTGGCCAGCAAGCACAGTGGTTTGCACTTGAGTGAACACATAATCACTTGCATGTAAAACAGCCTCAAGCAAACTTTCACAGACATAAGCTGCATAATAGGAAGACCTTACAAAGCACAAGCCAATTTTATTTATTTATTTATTTTTACTAACTGGTGCATTGTAATAACAAATTAGGTTGCCATTGGAATGGCAATCCTAAAATACACATGACTTGATCAGCCTCTTTATGGATATAGTTAGCTTGGATTATAAATGTGGGGGAATAGGATTTAAACATGTGCATCTTTAAAATAAATTCTTTTTAAAATGATTTCTGAATGGTGCATGTTTGGTAACATTGGATAAACAAATGCATCCCATGGCCACACATTAATCTCGTGGCCACAAGATATGTAACGAGTGGAAACAAGATCATTTTGAGCAGCCTTTTCTCTTTGCAAGAGATGCAGACTGTTGGGAGTCAGTGTATATGAATATGTTGTTTTTGTGTTTAACTGTTGAAATGTACCCCACACTTCTTCTTCTTATTATTTAGTGTTTGTTTATTCTAAATTGTTCATCTTTCAAAGTATTTATGAGATGACTATGAACACTTTAGCTCTGTGTCGGGGAACAGATTATTTTTTACTGTGTTCCTGAACACGACATAACTCAGACTCTTTCCACAGCCAAGGCACAGTCTGTGAGAGGAACCTGTTGTGTGTTGAGCTTAAAAATATAAAATAAAATAAAATAAAATAAAATAAAATAAAATAAAATAAAATAAAGGCTTTTGGACAAATACAACTCCAGTCATCATCTGTGTCTTTTAGCTACATCGTCACAAATAAGTGAAGTATGTCATTTATTGCTAAATTAAAATAAAATCCCAGTCTGCATAGAAATGACAGCTATAATTATTTCCTGGCTACAACATAATTACCTTGTGACTGCAAGATAATTTTTCTAATCCTATGTCACCGGATGGACTCTGTAGTATCCTCAAGTATCCTTTTCAACAAGAAACACACACGTCTCTACCAACTGGCTGTCTAATACAATTTAACTCCTATTTGTTTTTGGAACAGTGCTTTTCCCAAGCTTTATTTGGTAAAAAGATTTGCTCAAGTGAACTRTGTTAGTTGGGGAAACACTACAGCAATGACACTTTTTTCATCAGCAAGATTTACAGTTGAAACAAATTCTCTAGCACTGTGAGAGAGGAAGACACACAGCTCGGTAAAAACTCACGGTCGGACAGAGTGGCCTCCTCCACAGTACCGCTGAAAGGTCCGACCACGTCTACTCCATTAGACTTCACCGCCAGCTCATAGCGAGTGAAAGGCTTCAGCCCCCCGAGCAGGATTTCCTGAGCAAAACTGAAACACATACAAGTCACAGTTCTTTTTTGTTTTCTGCTCACATATGTATCACCTCTGATTTAATTTGAATTTATATAATAAACTTGTTCATGACTGCATTTTCAATACACTGAATAATGTATCATTCTTTGTTGCTTTGAATGCCGATATTTTAAGCAAAAACTTTGCATTGGCACTCAAAGCATGTGTTGAAAATGACTCGCTACTGTTATCAGACCAGATTTCTGTATTTCTGTAAAAATTAATTAATTAATTAAGTAAGTAAGTAAGTAAGTAAGTAAGTAAGTAAAGTTTTATTTATATAGCCCCTTTCACAGAAATAAATTCACAAGGTGCTGTACATTCAGGGAAGGAGGGAGGGGGCAGTTACGAAAAACCCATTCAAGAGACATACAAGACAAACATGGGGGAACAGGTGAAACCAGTCATGCAGCAAACACAGTTGCACTATCTTTAACAACAGCTTGAAATACACAAAAGGAAAATTGAGTTGAACAACCCGCGAGAGGGCAATACAGCCTGGGGGGGTTAGGTCAGATAACACATAAAGGGGAGGTAAAATGGGGCGGGTTCAGAGGAGTACGTGATGTGGAGGGAGG